ATTTGCATTTTTGTCCTTTGTTTCTTGAATGCAAAGCAAAAACCTTCCCAAACAAATCCTTACTTGATCTCAGCTGTCCTATGGCTTTCTGATATACTTACATATATATCTAAACCTTGGAGACTCAGAGCAAAATAATTTTTTTTTTTTTAGCAATCTGCTAAATAAACTTATCATTGAAATTAATCCTTCTGTTCACCTTTCACGTGAAGGATATTGGGAAGCTGAAGGAGATGACTTCAGGAATCCAATTACCTGAAATCAACTTAGAAGAAAGAAGGAGGCATTGTTAATGGAGATAATCTCCTTCTCAGACTTGCAGCATACCTCTGCTTCAGTGTGATAATAAAGACATTCTGCCTGGACAGTAAAATCACTATACGTGATTTCCTGATTATAATGGGGGGCAGAAAAATAGTCTGCAGGTACTGTCTAAAAATGTAGCTCTTGGCAGACAGAAATTGCTCTAAATAAACATTTGCAATCCCAAGTGACAGTGTAACATAGATATAGATAACATATAGATATAAATAAATATATGTAGATACTTAGATATCTAGATATGTATCTATATTTAGATATAGATAACATAATATAGATATTACTTGCTAAATGCGTTTTGCTGTTTATTTCCTAAATTTCACTTCAAACCATGTAGGTTTTCAGCATGAAAGACAATTAAATAGAGCACTTTTTTCCTCTCTAAAGTGCAGAAGTGTAACACTTGAAATCAGACAATCTTAATGCTGCTGTAGCAATTTTGTAAGGCACAAGAGGAAAATGCATTATATTATCTTGGGATTTCTCTCTGCTTTTGCTTCTCACAGCAATCAATAACCATTAGAATTACTGGGGGTAGTATCTGTCTAGATTATTTTAAGGTTTTTCCAGAAATCAAAATAAGAAAACAAAAATTGTCGTGTTGTAACCTTTTTTTTGTCTTTCTAACCATAATAAATCCAAATTTCTTTGAAGAAAAACAAAAACCTGTCAATAAAAAAGCAGGAGGGAATGAAGGTGAAATCTAGCTGAACAGATCCAGTAGTTAATATTAGAATAAAAAGTTTAAGGTGCAGAACAAATTCCCTTTGCACCATGGAAGATAATAGTCATTGAAATACAGCCTGCCCTCTTCCTCACCACCCTTCCCTACCTACACAGGGGCTGGCAGGGCAGAATCCCAGGCAGGGGGAGCTAGACTAGTACCTCTGGTGAGGGAGAGAATGGAATTCAGTCTGATGGAGAAAACAGGCTGAGAGACTAAGGAATGTCTTGTCATGGATCATTCAAAGCTGTGCAGACACATAGGAGCTGAGTGGGGCAGGGATAGGATTCCACCAGGAGGGACATCTGTGACCAAGCACCTGTAAGATCAGCTTGAACTGCCTCAGGTGCACCAAAGATTTCCCCTCGTGTTTTGGGGTGAGAACCACTCTGTAGCATCCTAAAGATAAAAATGAATTCTGTCTTGAAACACTGACTTGCGTAACCTTTAAAATTTATTTTACAGTTTATTTTCTCTGGTAGATTTTGGAAGCCTGGATATTACCTGTCAAGTTGTCATAAGTAATTATGCATTTGGTAACTTATTTCTTCCAATGAACAACAGGAAATACTCATGATGAATTTCATTTTTCTCTTAAAACATATTTAATAACTACTTTGATTAAATATTAAAGCTTTCTTTTCTGCTATAATTAGACAAAAAATTCCAAATATCAGCAAAATATTTTGTGCACAGTCTTCTTACTACCTGGCTATTAGTCTGGATTTTATTGATTGCTAAGATCATTGATCAGGGTAATTTCTAGGTGGTCAGGTTGGAAGACTGATGAGACTTGGCTGTATGATGACTCAGCAAACCAGAACTACATCTATATTGAAAATACCTGAAGATTAGACTTTCTGTGGATAGACAGGATTGCCTGGCCTTGGGGGACAGATGAATTTATTGCATTTCCCTCTGGGCAAAAGGGAACACTGAGATAAAGGAAACCTTTGCAGCCAGCAAGATCCTGTGTGGTTTCCTGTCTCTTTGCCTTCCTCAGTGCCAGTAGCACAGCAATGATACAGGGTGGCAGGTAATGATTTACAGCAAAGTGTGTCTCCCTCAACTCCGGCGGGGGGCAGATCTGGGAAGGTGTTGGATGAGTGGCAGGAACTGAATCAGTTGTCCAGATATGCCCTGTGCTCTGGAAGGGTAGCTGGCTGTAACAAAGTGACAGGTGGTTCGTCAGACATGAAAAGGACCTAATTTATTCCAGAAGTCAAGCCTGCCTGCTAGAGAAACTGTAATCGGTGCGTGTACAAGAGCTAAGGGAGCTCTAATGGCACTGCTGAAACCATAATGTAATATCCAGGTTGAAATCATTCCATCTTTATCTCATTATGAGCACGTTTTTCTTCTATGTGTGAAACTTAAATGTCAAATTGAGAAAGTGGAGGGAACATAAACACAAGGCTGTGGGCACAGTCTATTGTTTCCTCAGAAGGATTGTAGAAGCTGCAGAAGGCTGTAGGAAGATGCTCCAAGCAAAATGGGCAGATAAAGGCTTCCAAAAACTCCCCAGTTTTAGTAAGAGCTTCTTTATCTGTGCTGGAAGAAAGAAGCTCCTGGGAGAATTGTCTCTCTTTACCACATTACTCTTTATAAAAGAGAAAAGAGAACTTGTGGATAAGTGCTGCTTATGTGATCCATTAGCAATGTGTGTGTATCTCAGCGAGGGGTAAGTAAAGAGCTTTACACTGGAAGTACAACTGCTTGTAGTAGCAGATAGTTCAGAACAGGTACTCCCCCTTGGAAGCTGCAGCAGACGTGCAGTCTGAGCAGGGGGTCAGTGTCAGCTGTCCTGTGTGTGCTCACAGCTCGTGTGCAATGTGCTTTCCTACTCTGGAAAGTGAGAATGCAAATAAGCTTCCAGGTTCTCTGTGACAAACTAGATCTGGGTGGTGCTGGGCCTTTCATTTCTAGAGATAGCTCTGAAAGTTGGAATGAGAGCTGTAGGTTAGTGCTAGGTTTTATTCTTCCATGTGTTCTGTGCACTATTTTCACTCTTTCTCTGTCTTATTCCTACTTTCTGATGCTTGGCTTCAGACTGAGGTGAAAGGGTCTCTTTGGGTGGTGTGTAGGGGGAGCAGTAGGAAGTAAGTGGTGCTAGTCTGTAGGAAATTTAACACTGAGTTCTTTGAGTCTTCTTTAAGTCATACCTAAGACTCAGAGCATGGGTTCCAGTGTTACTCAAACACTCTAAGAATTGTTTCACCTAAATGAACTTTTGTGTACGTTTTCTTTATGTAGTCATACTTTTGATTTTTGTTTTTTGTTTCTGCTGTAATATAGAACTGGCTGGACAAATGTATACAAAACCAATGGGAATTTCCAAGAACAATGATTTCTCAAGAAACAGTGTGATTTTTAATGTCAGTTCCTGGCAGGTTACCCCATGTGGAATTATTATGGGATCTTGGCACTACAACTGATATGTTTAATAATTTTCATTATGTGTTTGGGTCCCTTTGATGCTTGATGATTACATTAAAGCAAGATTATAAGGTAGAATACATATGCTTTTGAACACATGAAAAATACAACCTTCCCTTTCCAGATGCATTCATTTTAACTCTGTTTAGCATTCACTAGATCTATGGTTATTTCTTTTTAATTTGAAATGCACTTATTGTTCTATTTCAAGAATGAATCATGTTCCACTGCTACCCCAAAATATAAGATAACAAAAAAATGGTAAAAATGATTGCCTGTAAACTATTATTACAGGCAATCCAACCTGCCAAAACACAATTGCCATTTAATAAGGTGGTTTTTTGAAAGAAGCCCTGTGAATGCTCCATTCTAACTGAAGTTACCCACAAATTCTGTATTTAAAATGTTTCATTTTAAGTGGCCGTAGTTTGCTGGTGACAGAAATTCCAATGGCATGTCTCTCCCTCTCTTTGTCAGTCCTTGCATGGGCATTCAGATTGCTCTGATGTAAGACCTGGATAATATGATATTTGGATTACATATTGTCGAAGGCCACATTCAAAGGGTAGTACATTAGAAATGTTGTATTTCAGAAGAAGGAAAATCCTGGCACTACTTAAAAAGTGTATTTCAGAAGAGGATTTTTTTTTTTTTTTTGTGAATACCACTATTTCTCTTTTATTACAGTAAAAAAAAAAAAGAAAGTAGGGAGAAAGAAAATACGAGACTTGTATTCTTTACAACAACGTGCAAAGTTCCTTCCCTGGGAAATTCATATGGAGAAAATTAGAAGGAGCCAGCATCCTGTTCAATGCTCACTCCCAGTGCTCAAAAATCTTACGCATTTATTATTGAAGCAGAGCAATTACAGATGCTAATGAGTAACTGCAGGATGTTTTATTATTATTATTAAAAAAAGGAAGTGTCAAGGGACAGCAAGTCTTCTTTGAAGACTAGTTTAATCTCTTTGACTATATGGACTTTAGTTTTGGGGTGGTCCTTCTTGAAATATCCCAAGGTAGTGTAAAGTCAAGAAAACAGGAAGCTGGTAACTGTCTTCTGGCTCCAGCTGTGAAGAGCATTAAGGAAAGGCAAGGGCTCTCACCTGAAAACATGGGCCCACATCCAAGTTATGCACCTATTTCAGCTAGTTACACTGCAGGGTGTCCACTGAACAGAGCATGGCCTGGGAAGGAAATGACAGAAAAACCAAAGTCAAGTTCCCTCTGAATTTCTGCTTCTGAACCTTACTCTGTTGGCAAATTTCATATTTTTGTCTGAATTTTTATCTGTTCACAGAGAAGAAGGTGTGTAACCCCTGCTCTGAAAGTTAAAGCAACTATAAAGTTACTTATCTGGGGGAAAAAAAAAAAAAAAAAGACCTACAGCTTACTCCAAATGTGTGCAGTCATGATATGCTATTGTATGGATTTTGAACTTGACTATTTTATTTCGTTGAGGGAAACTAATGCTGAATGCTGACAACACATAACTGACACATGCTTTTCTCTCCTAAAAGCACACGAAAGAAGTGGGAAGGCCACAGACTCCTTTGAAAGAAACAACCTTGGAGCCTTGGACTCAGCCACAGGTAGGCTGGAACAACTTTTCTGGTAACTTGTTTTCTTTAATGGTGGTTTCTGTCAGTCTTCATGGAATGATCTGCAAAGGAATCTTAAAACGGATTGCTCTGTGGTTCTTAACATTGGATGTTATGATGGTTTGCTTGGGTGTTTGGATGCCCAGATTACTGCTAGTGCTCTTGGTAGAGCATTAAGGGAGAAATGTCAGCATTATCTTGCCTTCAGCTTGTGTTTCATATGTGCTTAAAAATTTTTGCAGAACTTGATATAAAACAGAACTACTTTAGTAGTGTTATTGGTGCGTCAATAAACTGTGAGCATCTGGTGGAGGAATTAAGTGGTGGATGTTTATTTTGAAATCCTAGAAGTTAGGCTGGTTCTAGAGGGCTGCTTACTTCCAAAACTTCTGGCAAGTACAGCGTAGGAATTTAGAAGGAGAAATGAAAAAATCCCCACACCTCTGTTGCAGCTACCTTTGTTCATGCTTCGTGGCATTTGTTTTTAATTAGGTGCAATGCTGACTGTGCAGGCTTTCATGGGACAATCTGTACAGCTGATTAAAATACAGAAGCTCTTAAATGGTAAACTCTACAGTGTAGTCACAGAGAGATGATATTTATGTTTGTGCATTTCTGCATGCAGAGACAAGATGGTTATCTATAAACATGCAAGCCTTGTGTTGTAGGGAAATCCCTCAGCTGTTGCCTCTCCAAAACCCAGGATCTTCCCTCCTTCCTAACTAAAAGGCTCCCAGGTGCAGCATGTGCCCTGGCTGTTCCAAACACCTGCGTGGCCAAACCTCCAAAGCCTCTATCCAGGCAGCTGCTAATCACAGCAGTTAAGCCTCATCGATCTGCGTCTGCAGTCAATGATGTTTATGTGCAGGACTGCAGGAGCTTGCTGTGGTCCACAGTTACCAACAGACAGTAACTCTTCATGTGCAGAAACAAACTGTTTAGAGGTGTCTGGTTCCAGCAGTTACTGCTGAACAGTTGATGGATCAGTGTGGGAGGGGTAATGGATTCCTCCCATCTCCTTGCCTGCAGTGTGTGCTGCAGAGCAAGTAGGAGCTTGGAGGTAGGGCTGGGCTTTGGGTTGTTGGTGTGAAGGAGGAGATTTTTGGCTTTCTCCTTGTGAAAGGAGTCATTGAAGCAGCTTGATGCCGTGATTGTCATTTACTGGGGCACTGGTGCATGAATGTGGGTGACAGAGGTGAGCTTGTGCAACCACTTTTTCTCGGTGGTTTGTGTGACTGTTGCCAACAGCCTTGTCCAAGAAATATCCTGTTATACTGTCCCAGTGCTGATGAGAATCATTGTTCTTCCTGAGCATGCAGACCATCAACCTGTTATCTGATCACTTCTGAAAGATACATTTGCCACTGCTTCACTTAATGCCTACAGAGATTAAAATGCATGAAATGTTTTTGTCATTCCTATTCATTTTGGGGAAAAAAAAAAGTCTGCTTTTAAAAAAAGGGCATATAAAGAAGCTAACACCAATATGCTTTTTATTTTGTGGAGAGAAGAAATGTAATCAACAAAATCAAAAACTGCTGGAACCATTATTGTAGCAGAAAATTAAATTAGTTGTTAATTCTTCAATGGATGTAATTTTGGCCTCTGCAAATCCCTCCTTAGGTATTTTGTATAAAGTGAGTAAAAATTCATGGCATGGATAAAAGCTTTGTCTATTTTATGAGCAACAGGTAAATGATCCAAATGGTGCTCATAAAGCAAATGGTTCCCAGCTCTAAAAGGAGGAGAAATGTATTTAAAGGCTGCTAGAATGAACCATGAGCAAAGCCAACTCCTGTTTACAAAAAGGTGTTATTTCCGTGAAAGTTTTTTTATCCCTCACACACCACACACGAGGGAGAGACTCACTACTCATGCCTACTTAATAATAACAATAAAAAAATCATTACATTTGCTTGGGCTACTCACAGCTGTTCAGTGCTGAGAGCTGCTGTGGGATGTGTTTCACCAACAGAGAGAGAATGGAATAGCCCAGAGCACAGTCTGGGCGTGCAGGGCCAAACAGACAGTGAAGCAGAAACAGCCACATCTGGCCCCTAATACCAGAAGGTGAGAGGCTGGTACCTATTTAGCAGCAGGGCAATTTCACACAGTGGTTACAGTCTGGGGAAACAAGCAGTGGTGCTTTCTGTGCAGAGGGACGGAAGGATTCTTGTTGCCGATATTGTCACAGCTCTCATTTGCCTTCTGTGCTTCTCTTAGAAGCAGACAGGTAGCTGGGAATTTTGAAACTGAGCTCTTCAATTAGACAAAACTCAAAGAACTGTGGTGCTTTGGCAGGCTTGTTCCTGTTTCTGTGGTGGGGTTTTTGTTCTTGGTTTTACAGCTTTGTTTTCTGGGGTTTTGGCTCTGATTTCATAAGTTCCCGGAGCAATATGGCATTGACAGGGTGGGAATTCTTTTTTCATGGCCATGTCTTTTAACTTTCTGTTTTCTGCATCCTTCTGTGTGAACTCAGTGAGAATGGAAACTGATGTTACTGCCTGGAAAATAAAGTATAAGAGACTCGTTCCAATAAATTTGGGACAAGACCTCTGCAGATAAGGAACATGTGTGGGAGTGGTTGCCCAAATAGACTTGTCATTGGTTTACAAGCTTTATTTAAATGCTAAATACCATGTATTCCTGTGGTTATGTTTTTTACTGCTTTGCCTGATTAAACATTTAGCTGATAAACCCTGTCAAGGGTGTTCAGAGCTACTGCAGTTAAGATTATGTATTTATAGGCTGTATATTTATGGTCAGTTATAACAGGACAATTTCAAATCGATGTAATCTGTGAGTCTTGAAATTTTTGAAGTCACTGATGCTATGTCAAAATCTGAATTTTGTGTGGTAATGACATAAAATAATATTTTGTATTAGAAGCAAATTAGTGAGGTGGGTTTGGTCTCTTCTCCCAGGTAACAACTGACAGGATGGGAGGAAATGGTCTAAAGGTGTACTGAAGGGGGTTAGATTAGAGAAAGTGTGGAATATGCTGTCCAGGGAGATGGTGTAATCACCATCTCTGGAAGCATTCAGAAAATGTGTGGATGTGGCACCTGGGGCCATGGTGGACACAGTGGTGCTGGGTAAACGGTTGGATACAATGATCTTAGAGATCTTTTCCAACTTTAACCATTCCATGATTCTATGATTACTAGGAGGGTGAATTTAGATAAAGAGAATAGGGAGTTACCACAGGGGAAAAAAAAAAAAAAAGAACAATGCTTAAATTTATACAGCTTAAAAGTGCAGTAGTGGCAGGTAGTGAGGTTTGCCAGCATGACAGGTACAGCAAAACTCCCACTCTTCAGTTGCAGGGTATTTCTGATTTGATCTTTTTTTAGTTGACTCCTACATCACTGTCTATTATATGTCTATCTGAAATACTGCATAGAAGTGGTTCCTAGAGGTGTTCAACAGGATAAAATGTGAGAAGGTGGTGTTAGTGCTGTAGCTTTTTATTTGTTTATTAATTGTGAGAACTCAAAGTGCTTTTAGTCACTGAAGATAATGGCTAAAAAGCAAGGACACAGTTGCATTAATCTTCCTGGCCCAAATGTAGCATAATTACTTTAATGAACACATTAATTTATCCCCTTTGCTGACTGTCTTCTTTCGTCACAGTTCATGTTGTCAGTGGAAACCGAGGCAACGATGACCCTCTCCCCAGAGTTCTCTGGGAGGTTAAATGTCCAAGGACTAAGATTTGTCAGGCTCAGGTAGTTTATATTGTAATGTGTGTCACAGCCACATCTCGCACCAACAAGGCTTTATTACCCCCTGGTGTAACGGTGGGGCATCGCCACAGAACTGAGAATGACCAGGAAGGAGCAATAAGACACAGAACAAGTGAACCATTTGTCTCTCAAGAGCAGGAAAGGAAAATAATTTGTTTCCTCTTCTGAATCTAAAGTTCCATTTTCTCTTTATTTGTGTGCAGAACACAGCTTTTTTTTTTTTTTTTTTTTTTTTTTTTTTTTTTTTTTTTTTTTTTTTTTTTTTTT